CTTGGAATGGAAAATGGTGTTTTATATGTAATGATGCACCTCACCATCTGCACCTCCCTTTTCCAAATTCTAGATCTGCCCATGTTTATGATAAATTGAGCTACACCACCTGAAAGGGTAGGCTAGCTGAATTTAAAAACACATTAGTTATAGGAGTTTTTTGTGTGGACAGAACCAGAATTAGAGGCAAAACTCAAGCTGCAACTCAGGTTAACTTTGGAATGAAGATAACCCTTTAACTAACTGGCTTTATATGATCTACCAATAACATAAGAAGCTCTGAACATCAATAACTCATTTAAATACAGCTTATACTGAAATCCAGTTTGAATAAATGTCATCAGGGACTTTACATTGTGGTCTGATAATATTTTCTTGGCATACAAATAAAATTATAAAGATTTTTTCCTAATTGCCAGGATTTCAGCCTAGGATTTGGCAGTCAAGCCAATTTCTTTCTTATGCAGATTAAGCCTTTTGTTAGACCTGTACAACTCCACTAAAGTCACCAGCATATCACTTAAAGCATAATTTAATCAGAAGAATCTCTCTTGTTTATTAGAAGACCATTACCTACAAATAGCAATAAAGTCCCAATTCTATAAGATGATCTGTCACTGCAATGGTAGGGGTCAAAGAAGAATGAGGAATCCTGGGGGTAACTAGAGTTGTCACATTACCACTTCCTCATTTCTATAGACTATTTAAATCCTGCTCTTGGCTCCAAACTCATATTTAGAATTATCATTGCTGGCAATCTAAGGCTCACATTTGTTCCCATGAATTGTATCCACACTACAGTATAATAAACAAGACCCTGTAGTCTTCAGATGTTTAGAGCACAATCTAATTTAGGCTTTGGGTCTATTAAAAAGGGTTCTTATCCTTTGGATTAATTTGTTGGATTATATTTACTACAGCAAGTTCATGTATGTGTTTAGATCTATCTAGGTAGATCTCGAAGATGGGTAGTTCATCATCAAAACAAAGCCTTGTACTAACAACGATTATAATCTGAGCCCAGAATGGATGGGAATTCATTAGGAGAGATTTCTGTTTCATGGAAGAGTGTGCCATTGCCAAATGTGAGCATGAATGTTCTCATGGAATAATGGTTCATTCTATCATGCATAGTGAAGAAGGAAAGAAATGGGAGAGTTTCTATTTCAATAGACTATGAATCAAGACTTTTAACAATTTATTTTTCAGGATTTTGTTTTGAATGGGGTTGCTTCCCATTCTCCCGAACATCCAGGCCATGATTCTCACTTAACTAATGGCCCTTTGGCAAACCAAAGGGGCCTTACAGTGGGCATAAACTACTTTTGCATCTACTTTAAGACCCCCTTACACTGACAGAAGTACATAAAGTGGCTTTAGTTTAAATGAGAATTGGAAATAGGGTGTAAAATGAAGACCAGTACAGAAGTTAACAACAATCATGAAAAATAAACATTTCAGTACTATTTTGAAATGGTGGTGCCATACCTCCTCATATTTAGAAATATTTTCTAGAATCCTATCTAGTCTCATTGTATGAGAACTACACTGTAATATTAAAATAAAAACCAAAATGACAAGTGGCAGGCACTAAGTAATTAAGAATTACAAGACCAGGTTCATGCAGCTAATAATTCCACTATTTGACTAGGGAGAATTTGGCTCCGTATGTTTTTCCCAGACTATATTTGACCCATTCTGAACCTTGCTCTTTTAGTGGTCTGCCAGTGACATCAAGGCTGTGATGTAAACCATTGATTATCATGAGGGCTGTGATGTCATAAATGGGGCTTTGCACAACCATGACTGTAAATAGGTAAAAGTGCTCACCCACATCTGTTCATGTAAATTTTCAAAAGTACCTTTTAATTTTATATTTACAGCATGATCCCCACCCTTCAATTAATCTGATTTTTCTAAGAGTGGGTATTCAGCCCTTTCTAAAAGTCATACTTCTAAATTTCACCAGTAAAGTACCAAAAATCACTAACTGCTTTTGCACATTTATGCTGTGTACGTCTTAGAACTGTTTCCCAGAACATTGCATTTTCTCACTCTTCTCTTGTATTTTGTACTAAATTGTCAGAAATAGCAACGGAATTTAGAAAAGTAAAATGTTTTCCTCTTAGGTGTAATTCTGTGCTTGTAATTTGGGGTCATTGCCTTTGTATTCACTGAAGTTATGGACTGTATAAGAGACATATATACAGGGATTACATAAATGAACCCAAATGTACTTTATCATAGTCTCTTCCCAGATTATAATCAGATGTTCATTTGTCATCCATACTCATCGGGGGTACTGAGCACTTAAAATTTTATTCAGTTAAAAACAATATTGGCGCCTCAATTAAAAATGTCAGTATTGCCAGGTTGTTTTTTAGTTAAGTTCAGGTTTTTTGTTTTATTTTTTGAGGAGAAATATGTTTGGGTACAGAGAAAGTTTGGTTTCTCCACAAAGTAGATCTTCCTCCTCTGCAGAAGTGAGAGACACTACATATATTAGGGCTAGCGTCTCAGCTCCAGAATTTCAATGTTCCTCTTACCAGTTAAAGAAAAAAGCTCCCCATTCTGGTCTCTTCTCTTTCCAGTACCAGAACACCTGCCGTGCCTTAGGGTCTGACCAGGAGCATCCAACCCCCATCCACATTACTCCAATCACTGAAAAACTGGACAGAATTTAGAAGAGATGGAAGAATACTTGTCTAGGTCTGAAGGGCAAACCTTACAATTGGAGCCTGAAGAAGCTAAATCACTTTAGCTTATCAAAGAGACAGTTAGGTGGCAATTTGTTGACGGTTTGTATGTCTACACGAGCAGCAGATACCATGTTTAAACAAGAGGGATCTTTAATCTAGTTGATCAAAGCAAAGGATCCAATGGCTAGCACCTGAAGCTATAAAAATTTAAACTGGAATTAAGTTTTTAATTAAGTTTAAGATCAGATTGGATTAGATACCAAATCACTTGTAGTACATAAATTAAACTTGGATGTCTTTCCAAAAGATTTACTCAATTTCAGCTAAAACAACTGGGCTCGGCGCAGGAACAAGAAAGTGAAATTCCCTGCAGGATGTTAGTTTAAACAACCACAAGCCCTATGAACCAACAGCATTAATTTCTGGGCCTGTCTACCTTCAGTTCGATTCCAAACTCGGAAGCAAAAAGCATCCTTGATCCTCAACCCATCAACCAACTCCAAAGCAGAGCAGGTTACTGTAAAGAGACAGCAATCTCATTATCCCCATCCCCCCAGAACATTTTGTTCCCTCCTGGAGTGGGGAACTGCTGCATTTCTCCTTACCATGGTGTCTCCAGTGATGTGCTCTTCTCTTTTTGATGAGGAGCAGCAGCTTTGGATATTGATGTTTCCCCTGCTGTATCTCTCTCTAAGCTGCTTGGTGGGAGAGCACACAGGCCATACATCCTACATCAGCTAGTGCCCGACAACATCACAGTGCAGATAGGAAAAGAGGTCATAATCTCCCCAAGGCAACCTTCACTTCTCACCCACTGCATGATTACATCACCAACCTCCTCTCTCTCTCTCTCACACACATATTAACAAGGCAAGCCCATTGAAACCAGATTCACACCCCCACAGTCCATTTTTTTTTTTCTGGTAGTCCCTCATACTCATCTCCCTCTTCCCTGAGCTCATTCTTTATCAAAACTTCCCCATTAATTCTTTACACTAAATTTGGGGGTGGAAGATTTTAAGCTAAAGGCTTTTTTCATTGAAGAATTCTACATCATCAAAACATTTCTCGGAAACATATTCATTTTCCAGTCAGCCTGAGAACAAATTACAGATCAGAAACCTGATCTTTTTACTCAAAGCACAGATGTTTCATAAAGACTTTCAAAAGTTTCAGGTTCATTACAACCAGCAAAATGGAAACAGCTTTTTAAAACTGAAAAGTTTTCACAAAGCGAAATCTAAGCCAGGTAGACTTATGATGTACACCGTATTTACAGCCCATTTATCCAACAATCCTTTAAAGGATGCTAAGTAAACATAAAATGGTATTACTTAACAGTGTTAGAGAAGTAGATTTCTTTTCACTTTGCATCTGTAATAACTACATTTGGATCATGAGCCTCATTAGAGAGATGTTTTGCTTTCTTTTTCAGTTCATCTTTATTTCCTGTCTCATCTCCCTCTGAGCAGTGTTCACTAATCTGAAATTCTATGAAATCCTCCTTAAGAACGGGGAACCAATTTTCAGATCCACCAAGCATCCAAAACTCCAAGTGAGAAAGGATCAGCTGTAGATGCTGTACATGTATATCAGAGGTGAACTACCTATGACCATGTGCCAGATACGACCTGTGGAGCCATTTGAATTGGGCAGCTGACATGGGGCTTCAGCAGCATTTGGTACTGGCAGCAATCACCCTACCATGGTGGGAAAAAGCACCAGCTGTGAACACTTTTCCCATGCCACTGCTGTGAAAAGTGGTGGCAGCAGCTAGCACCTGCCTGCCCACCTGCCCACTTCTGACCCAAAGTGGGCCAATTCAGCCCACAGTCTTAAGGCTAGGGACAGACAGTATATATAAACCAATTTAAGTGATCCGAAACTGGTACACCTGTAACAGAACACAAGTTCAGTGCACATAAACCCATTTCAAAATAGCTGAAACTGGTTTAAGATAAACATGGCTAAAGTATCAGACTTGACTGATTTAGGTCAAAACAGTTTATGCAATATCTATCCCAGACCCCTCCCTGGTTTAAGTTAAACCAGTCACCCAGCATCCCAAATGCTTTGCAGCTCTGTGTGTGGCTCTCTGCTCCAGAGAATAGACTGGTCCCACCCTTCTGCTCCCTAGCCAGAGCTTCAGGGGAGACTGCAGGCACAGTAGGGTCTGCCTGGCTTCCCTTGCTGCTCAAGCAGGGATTCCCTGCTCCCTTATATCTTCCACAGCATGGACCCTAGACCCATGGACCCTAGTCATGTGGTATGCTAGCTAATGCTGAGAGGTGTCGGTGTGTCCATGTCTCTAATTTCACTGGTACAGGCAGACAGAAAAGTGTCCGCATATGGCTTTGTAGACCTAATCAACAGGTCAGCGGTAATGTCCCTCCTTCCTTCTTTGGAAAAAGCTGTTTAAGAAGAGCTTGAACTAATGAGAGAGGCATTTGTTTTGTTGATGGGCTGAGCCCCCTGCTGGCTTTATCAACTACCTTCATAAGGGCTGCAAAACAGCAGAAGCAGGGAGAGGGAGATTGAAAAGCTCAGTATAATCAACAGATGCATGCACTGCACACACACACCCACCTCTGAGTGCTAGCCGAGGGCTGGGGTCTGGCAACACTCCCACCCCTTGAGCTGCAAGCAGGGAACAGCTTGAGGCAGTGCAGGCCAGGGTAGGGGTTTACACCCCACCCTAATCAGAGCATCCTGCGGGGGCCTGGCTACACCCCTGAGCTCAGATCTAAGGAAAGGAAGGGATGGCTCCTCTAGTGCCCCCTGGCTTCTAGCCTGAGCTACTGCAGGCATGTGCCTGCATTTCTTCAGTCCAGAGGGAATGTCTGTATGATTGAACTGAATCCAATTCAAACCAATTCAACCTAGGCAGGTTACACTAACCTGCAAAGATTGAATTACTTCAGGCTTTCTGAATGTCTGTCCCTAATATAAAAGGTGGCCATCTGCTGCTCTACGTCTCTGAAAGTTAGGTGCTCAGTACCCAGATCAGGCCAGGCTGAAGCCAATGCACAGAGCCAGGCCACTGGGCTGCCACGTGCAATGTGAGCCCTGTGCTGGCCCACTGTGCCACAGTGCATGAGGCTGCTCTAGCTCATGCATCACCTAGAGCACACTCTGGCTTCAGAGCATGCTCTGCAGCAGCACAAGTTCTAGACCCATGTCTAGCTGGCATCACTGCCTCAGGCCATGTACCACATGGAGTGAGCCCTAGGGTTGGCCTATGCTGCATACGGCGCATGAGTTGGACCCAGCGTCATGGCACTTTATGCAGCACAAGGGGTCAGACCCAATCCGACCCAGTGTCTTTCATCCAGCCCACAGGGCCAGATGAGTTTGACACCTCTGCTATAGATTGTTCATAGCAAAACTCTCGGTTATGAAGTGTTTCTTCTTTCTTGTTTCCACAGTGCTCAAATGTAGATTAAATTAATCAGGGGAAAGGCATCAAGCCATACAATGAGCTGTGTCATGCATGAGCAGTAGAGGTGCACTGATGTATTGGTTGCATCAGCACCACTAACAGAAAAATGAATGTGATTGGCAATTGACTTTTTTGGGCTGATGATGTCACCGATAAATATCATGTGCATGCACGCAGCCACAGCGTGCATGCAGCCAGGAATGCAACCTGACAGCTTGAACAGCAGCACCCTGCCAGTAAGTCTGCGTGGGGGAAATGGGCAGATTGAGGCCCTCACAGTGCGGGAGGGAATGGGGCAGGGGCAGGCACTGCCCAGCCAGGGCAATAAATAGGACCCTGGGGCCAGGAGCAGGACGGAACCACAGGCAGCCCATCCAGAGGGCATGGAGGGCTGGGGAGGGGGGGGAAGCTCTCTGCTGCTGCACGTATCCCTGGGGGAGGCATGGGGGGCATGTGCCCCCCAGATCTGAGCACAGGGCAGGGGCAGGCAGGTTGTCCACTGTGGGCTGCAGGCCAGGGCTGCACTCA